CTAGCAGCCTGCAATGCCCCATCCATGGACATCGCCATCTCCTCTGGGGAACCCTGGGGAATCTTGAGTGTCATGGCTGAGCCAATTCAACGGCTGATTGATAGAGGGGCAGCTCACTCTGTTCTGCCTTCCTTCTCTGGAAGACTCCTCTGGGTCCACGGCCATAGCTGGGGTCCAGGGGACCCAGTCAGAGAATCTTTACTCCTCCTCTGATGTCACTTTGAAGACCAAATGTCTAACCATGAGTTTCTAATTGTCCCACAGTGTCCTGCTCCTTTTCTAGGAAGAGATTTCTTAGCTAAATAGGAAGAATTCTCAAATTTGGTCAAGGCCAAAATGGATTTTACCTGTTGGGACTACACCAGGTCTCCCTGACCAAATTGGCCAACAGGTGGATCCTGTGGAACAGTATAACGAATACCTGGGAGGGCAAATCCAGCTATGCCCATAGTTGTAAGACTGAAAGACCCCAGCTGGCTTCCTAACCAAAACAGTATCCAATCAAGGAGGAGGCACATAAAGGCCTCCATTCTCTCATAGGCAAGTTTCCTGAGTGGCCTTCTGAAGCCTTGTCAGTCCCCTAGCAATACTCCCATTCTCCTGTAATAAAGCCCTCAGGAGAATACTGGTGGTACAGCACCTCCGCCTCGTTAATGAGGAATCCCAATCCATCCCTAGTGGCAGATCCACATACTATTTTCTCCCAGATTCCAGGGGACACTAATTGTTTCTCAGTCTTAGACTTAAAAGATGCATTTTCCTCCATCATCCTACATCCAGACTCCAAATTCCTATTTGCCTTTGAATGGGTAAATCCCATTTCAAGAGAAAAACAGCAATATACTTGGACAGTTCTCCAAAAAGACTTTAGTGACAGCCCTCACCCTTTTGCTCAGGCACTTTGCAAAGACTTGAGGAGCCTAACGCTAGAGCAAGGAGTCACCCTGCAGTGTGTAGATGACATTCTAGTCTGCAGCCCAACTCAGGAGCTATCTCACCATACATTCTTACACCTGGGAACAACAGCTATGTAGGGACTGGATCCAGGCTATGTGTGCTCTTAGGCCTCCTTCCACCAAACAGCAGCTTCACTACTTCCTGCTCTTGACCCAAAGGCTAGGGCAAGAGCCCTGCTCAGTGGGATACTTTTCAAACTAATTAGAGGGAATGGCTGCTGGGTGGCCGCCCCTCTTGAGAACAGTAGCAGCTACTGCTGTATTAACAGAAGAAGCTATGAAGTTAACTTTGGAGCAGAGACTAGAAGTTCTGACTCCCCATCAGGTCAGAGCTATTCCAGAGATGAAAGGTTACTTGTGGCTAACAGGGGAACAGCTCACTAAGTATCAGGTCATACTCTTAGATACCCTGAGGTTATTATAAAAACTTGCACTACTATCAACCCTGCTTCTTTGATGCCTACAGGCCCAGAAGTCAGCCACTCATGTGAACAAGTCATCTCTCAGACATACACAAGTAGGCAGGACATCAGTGATCTGCACCTCCAAGATCCTGATGAGGTATAGTACACTGACAGAAGTAGCTTTGTTCAAGGAGGACATCAAAAGGCAGGTTATGCAGTTCTCAGCTCACAACAGAAAATCAAAGCTAGACCTCTTCCTCCAGGAACCTCTGCTAAAAACCTAGAGAGAGGGAACCCAAAATGAAAAGGCCCCTTCTCGGTGATCCTTGCCACACTCACCACAGTAAAAGTGGCAGAGATAGATAACTGGATTCATCTTTTTATTATAAAGCCAGTCTCATCTGAACTGTCTGAAGCACAAGATCACACAAGAGGAAAAAGCTACTCCTGTGAGCCTCTGGAAGACTTAAGATTTCTCTTCAAAAATCAAGACTCCTGTCCTGCTACAGGAAGTGTGGAAATCTGACCTGCCCCTCATGTTTGGGCTAATAGTGCAGGTCAATGGTCATTAACTCTTTTCTCCTTATTTCCTGACAGGTTTTCCTTTCTTCAACACAGCCAGTGAGCCACAGCACCCCATGGTAGTTGGAGAGCACATGATCCCTAATAGGTAGGGTCTACAGCCCCTTCCAGCTTGAAGAAGGTACAGAACACAGAAACCTCCTCTCCCTCAGCACCCTATAAAGAGTTATGGGGATTTGTGTTTCTCAGGGGAAATGAGGCAGGAGATTAGGGCATGGCAAAGGAGGCTGGGAAGAGGGTGTGGCCTGTTAACTACAAGAGCTCAGATACACACACAGAACAGTTCCCATAGCCCTGCACATGGACTCCTTGCAAGAATTGGACCAGGTTTTCAACAAACGACTTCGACCTGACATCAGCCTGAGGTGTGGAATCTCAGGACCCAGATGTAGAAGTTCTCACGGATTTCCTCAAGATTTGGACAGCATAAAAGAAAGGCAGCCATGAGGAGCTGGTGCTATCATAACTATCCATGATAGCCCATGCTGTGTTTCCCAGACTTTTATCTTTGCTCTCTCTCTCTTTTTCTATTTACTAGGCCCAACCTCTCTCTGCAGAGGCAGTTTCTCTCCCACTCTTCATTTTTGCTTAAGTAAACTTTGCTATTACTTTTTGAGGAAAAAAATAAACTCTACTGTATCAATAATACATTGAGGGGCCAGGGATTTAGCTCAGTGGCACCACACCTGCCTCGCAAGCACAAGGTCCTGAATTCAATCCCCAGTACCAAAAAAAGAATAATAATATATTCAGTGGAAATGTACCAAATACTGCAATTAAAAGGCCAATATGATCAAAATGGACCCAAAAAGAAAAGAAAAGAAGTCTCAACTATAAGCTATCCACAAAATAAAACACAAAGATAAAATAGTTTGGGAGTAAAAGGGAAGAAAAAGACCAACTATGTAAACAAGTATCATAAAAAAGCTGAGTGGCTAAATTTGTGTCAGATAAAATAGACTTCAAGAGGAAACTGTTAGCAGAGATGAGAAGGGAAATTTTACAATGACAGAGGGTTCAATTCCACATAACAAGTCTAAAAGTGCCCACAGGTGATAACAAAGCTTTAAAATAAATTAACCTAAACTTAACAGAAATAAAAGAAGTAGACAAATTTATAAACAGAATTGGAGATTTTATTACTCCTCCTTAGTTACTGACAGAACTATTAAACAAAACATCAGCACAAACATAAAAGAGCCAGGTGACACTATCAAATACCTTGGCCAAGTCAGCACTAGCAACTATAGACTTCGCGTTCTTTTCAGATTCACTTGGAGTATTCATTATATGCTTGGCCATCACAGGTCTAAGTGAATTTCAAAATATTAAAATATTATGGAGTGTGCTCTTTGACTACAACAAAATTAAATTAAAAAATCAGTAATAATGTGAAAGCTAGAACCCCCATATTTGAAAATTAAATACTAAATAAATTTCAAAGAACTGAAAAAGGAAATCAGAAAAATTTTTGAAATGAATGAAAATGAAAGCACAACATACCAAAATCTGCAAAATACAGTTAGAGTGTGAAAGAAATGTCATGGTTTACATGCTTATATTAGAAAAGAAGAGGGCACAGAATCAGTGATAGATTTCAACTTAAGCTAGAAAATAAAAGAACAAATTAAACCCAAAGTAAATAGAAGGATCAAAGTAAAAGCAAAATTAGAATCAGAAATTAATCAAATAGAAAATAGAAAAGCAATGCCAGAAACACTGTTACTGAGATTAATAGAATTAATAACCAGCCCACAGGAAGGGTAGAGAAAAAGAGAGATCCACACCAGGAATGAAGGGGACCACTCCAGGTCCTACAGAAGCCAAAAGGCTGATGATGGAGCACTGTGCAGTGCCTTGTTAATAAATCTGCCAAGTTAGGTGAAATAGAAAATTTCTTTGAAAAACACAACTTGTCAAAAGGACAAGCTGAAATGGAAAATGTCTGTCAAAGAAACTGAATGTATCAGAAATGTTCTAAAAAAGAGAAACTTCAACCTTAAATGATTTCCCTGCTGAATTCTGTTAATCAAGAAATAACATCTATCATATGAAAACTCTTTCAGAAAATAGAGAAAGCAACATTTCCTGACTCCTCTATTGAGCTCAGCATACTCTGACGTACCAAACCCTGTAAAAAAATGACAAGCAAATTTCTCCATGAACACAAGTACAAAATTCCTTAGCAAAATATTAGCAAATCCAATTTATTTATATATAAAAAGGATAACCTATCATAAACTGGTGGACTTATTACAGAAATGCAAGATTGATTTGGTTTTTGAAAATCAAAGAAATTCACGATATTAACAGAATAAAAATGAAAACCCTCACGATGATCTCTAAGGAAAAAGAAAAAACACTTGTGAAAGTGCAAAATCCACTCAGTGCTTTAAACACGTACACACACTCTCTGCGGGTGAGGGCTACAAGGAGAACTTGTTCAATCTGCTAGAGGACAGCTACAAGAAACAAACCTGCAGCTCATACACAATTAATGAACTCTTCCCTCCCTGCGGTGGCTCTCCCATTTCCAACGTCATAGACTTAGCCTTACACTGAAGGTCCTCAGCCGTTCAATAAGTCGAGAAAAAAGAATAAAAAGAATAAAGACTGGAAAAGGAGAGATAAAGTTCACTTTTTTATAGATGACATGATTATTTATCAAGATTTAAGAACAATGAGAAAACTACTAGAAGAAATAAGTCAATTTAGCAAGGTCAGAGCATTTACAAGGTCATACATATAATCAATTGTATTTGTATGTATCAGTATCAAATAATTAGGCAACAAAATTAAAGAAACAATTTCATTTATAATTATATCAAAAAGTAAAATACCTAGGAACAAGTTTAACAATAGTCATGCAAAACATCTCAATGTACATTTAAAAATATTGCTGTGCTTAGATAAATCAAGGAAAGCCTAAATAAATATCAAAAGAACGTGTTGTGTGTTTGCCATGTACTTTCTAAATCTAGTCAATAAATTTTAATGACCAACCACTACATTCCAGGCCCTCTTCTAGTCACTGGAGATAAAATAATTAAAATCCTGACCTCATTAAGTTTAAGTCCTAGTTTAAAAAGCAAGCAACCAGAAAAAAAGGCTTCCAACATATCAGGTACTGCTAAGAGCCATGAAGAAAGATGAAACCAGGCGAGGGGACAGAGAGTAATGCGAGGTGGCTCTTTATAAAACGGCTAGTGAAGGCCTCCTTGGCGAGAGAAATTCTGAGCCGAGAGCGGAGGACGACGAAAGAATGCGCTGCCGTGTAAATCGAAGAAGAGAAGTCGAGGCCGCAGGAGCAGGAGGTGCCCGAGTCCTGGGGCGCGAGCACACCCATTCGAGAAACAGCACGGGGCTCCTGCTGCTGGGTGCAGCTCAGTGAGCAGGAGGCGGAGTCACGGAGGCAGAGGGGCTGCGTCTCCTCTCGTCTCGGGGACCGACTCACAGGGAGGGGACTTTACTGCAGAGACAGTGCAAACACTACTGCAAAGCCGCACAGAGGTGAGAGGAGTGTGCGGGGCGGGTTTTACGAAGCCCCCTTGCTGCTGCGGGAGAGCAAAGTTTAGGGTCCCGAGAGTGGGAAGTGGGCGGCCAGAGGCTTCCTTCCCCTGCTCTAGGGAGGCCCAGCGGCGGGAGTGAAGGCGGAGGAAAGCTTGATTCGTGCTCAGGCTCCGCAGCACAAACTCGCCGCGGGGTTTGCTGGGGTTCAGATGTGGGCTTTGGGAGGAAGGAAGAAGTCGAGGATTTGGGCTAAGCAACCAGAGAATGAAGCCGCTGTCTATAAAAGTGTAGGAAGTGTCTGTTAGAAATAGGAAATCAAAAGGAAGAGAAGGCCTGGTCCCTTTGCAGACTGGTGGAGTCACAGTGGCCTGGAGGCCAGGCCTGGGGAGGCCAGGAGCTGCCAGCCTGGGGTAGTTGAGCCGTGGAGGGTTCAGAGGGGACCTGTCTGGCACTGGGAGGTGACGCTGACAAAGGCAAACCCGGAAGTGCCCGAGGCAAAGCAGGACTCAGTCAGGCCACCCCACCCACAACAGAGTGGAAGCCCTGGGGCGTGGTGAGAGACCAGGGCGGGAAGAAAGTGAAGGCAGAAGCATTTGTATAGCTTTCTGCATGCCTGGCGAGCCTCGGTGCATGGGTCCATCCCCCCATTCTCCGCCGCCCTTCGGACTCCAGGGAGATGGAGTGACTGAACCACGGCCCTGTGATCGGCGGGAAGGCTGGCATCGGAAGCTGGCAGTGCGGGTCCGACAGCGCCCTGAGCCCCTCACACAGGGTGTATGGAGAGTACGGGACGTCCCCACAACTGCCCTCAGGCCCTTCGGGACACTGGCATGTCCGCCACTGGGCTGGAACACAAGACCACTCGTGGTGCGGGTTCTGAGCCCAGACAGACTGAGCCAGGGGCCGGAGATGCCTGACCCCTCACCTGGACCGGCCTGCATCTTCTCCAGGTGTGTGACAGCCCAGTCTGTGCAGCCCCCTCTGTCCCCCTGGTCTCTGAGAACACTTCATACATGCCTCTCTTTCTGAAAATGCTTCTAACTGGCTGCTTGCTTGGGCCTTCACCCTCACAGAATATGGGCATTTTACTTTTTTGATACTTGTTACCAAACTACTTCTACTAATTTATACTCCCATTAACAAGGCATTTCTATAGCCCTTAACTAGTACTGTCATTTTTCTTTAACCAATCTGTTTATCTTCATCATTAGGTAAGACACAAGTGTGTGTGTGTGTGACTGGGGATTGAACCCAGGGCCCCAGAAATGCTAGGCCGGAGCTCTAGCACAAGCTATATGCTGCCCTTTTTATCTTTCACTCTGATACAGGGTCTCAAGTTGCCCAGCCTGGGCTCACACTCTCAGTCCTCCTGCATCCATCTGCCTGTTGAGTCGCAAGCGTGCACCACGAAGCACGACTGACACGTCATTTTTAATTCACAGTCATTAACATTAGCAACATTTTTACACGTTGCTGATCACACTGTTTCTTTTCTGCAAGTTTTTCATTTGTCCATTAGTCTATGTGAGCTGCTCTCCTTTCATTTCATAAAGGCCTTGTGTATACTGGGTTTTTTAACTCTGCCATTAATATTGCAAACATCTTTCCCAGTTTGTTATTTGGCTTTAAATATTAATAGAATTTTCACAAGGCAAATGCTTTTTAATTTTGTTAAATAAAATTCACATATTAGGAACTTGTAGATGGTTTTCCTCTGATTCAACAATTAAATGCTGCAGTTAAATCAGATCCATGTTCTCCACGCACGTGTGTGAACATCCCACACAGGATCCCACCTTCGCCCCAGGAGCAAGGCTATGAGCTCTCAAGGAACCAGAGGGCGATGGAATGCATTCCAGCGACCCTGTGCCTCTGGTCTCTGCTTCTCCCCTTCTCAGCCTTTTCCTTTCGACCCCGAAGCTCTCACTGAAGCATGACGGGAGCCATCCGTGGTACTGTCCCTTCCAAGGCTCCTGGGTCCTAAGCGTGACACACACCACAGGGTCGGTTGTTACTGTTGGAACTTAGGCCTCTGCAGTCTTCCACTTGTCAGAATAACCCTTAGAACTACTGACCTGTGGCAAAGGTTGGGTCTGTTGGATGGGTGGGTGACCCATTAAAGCGTCTCTCCAGTTGACGACAGAGTTGTTCTGACAGGAATTCCAGAGAGACAGAAGGACAGGAAGACAGATGCAGACAGACCAGCCAGGGAAGGTCCAGGCAGGGCTCGGCCAGCTCTGGGTCTTGCTCCAGTCTGGCCACAGCTGGGGTAGGTGGGGGCTGTCGGCTTCGAACAGATCCAAGCCCCTACAGACAAAGCCCAGGGGTTGCCAAACCTCAAAGCCCTCCAAGCGCACCGTGGCCAGAGCCCACTTGAAGAGATGACCTCACTGGCAGAGGGTAGAGCCAAGAACCAAAATACTCTGTCTTCTGCTATTCATTTTTAAATCATGATTATGTGTTCCCTCTTTCTTTAAGGACATCAAACGTGCAGTAACATTGTGCAGAGACTTCTGGGGGCCTGGCCATGGCATGAGCACAGAGAGGACGTCAGGCAGGTGCGGGGAACAGGATATCCATGGCAGATGTTCACAGGGCTGACCGCATTTGGCTAGACCTGCTGTGCAAGGAGCGTATCTCGTTCCAAGGCCATGGCCATCTGGGAACGGTCCTGGGGCACATGGTTCCCCACCCCCAGGAATAGTGCTTCACCTGCCGCCTCCTGAAGAGGAAGCTCGGGGAGTTCTAGAAGAGGGGTTGTGTCCTCCTTAACCTCCTCTAGACCCATACATGTTCACACTAAATCCCGGGTCTTTGGGGCCACACCTTCAAACAACACTGCCCATCACCACTCCGTCACTGCCGTTGACCGCCCTCCTGCGCAGTCTCCTCGTTCATCAAAAATCAGTAAGAGTATCTTCAAGGAAGGGGTGGCAACAGAAGGAAGGGAAAGGGAACAGTGAAGTGGAAGCAATCCGTGGCCCATTCAACTCTACCACCTCCACTCCCTTGATAGTATTCTTCCCAATAGCTGAATTAAACCCAGGCAAAAGGTACTTCCACGTCGCCATCCATACTGACATGATTGGCCGTTCCTTTCTTCCTGGAACTCCCAGCAACCTTGGTGTCCATGCATCGCCCTCCTCCCTGCTTCCACCCATCAGAGTGCTCCTTTTACTCCTCCTTGCACCCTAGTCCTCCTCACCCCAGCTCCCAAGTGCTGCAGTCCTAAGATGTGGAGGGCTTCTGGAAACTTTCCCCTTCTCTCTGAAAACTTTGCTCCTACAGCCCCTCTGTCTGCCCTGCACCGCCCACCTCATGGCTGAAGTTCATGTATATGCTAGTAAGTCTCAAATCAGTATTACAGCCCATTTCTTCTTACTGGATAATTTCTAAAGAATAGAAGCCAGTCTAGCTCACAGTTCGGGAGCATGGTACTGGCTTCTGCGTGTCATCTGGCAAGGCCGTCATGCTGGGTCATGGCATGGAGCCGGGCATTATATGATGACATAGAGCAAACTTGCTAGTCTAGGTCTCTTCCTCCTGTAAAGCCACTAATGTCATAATGAAGCTCCGCTCTCACTACTTCTACCCGTTACCTCTCAAAGACCCCGCCTCCAATACCACTGAGCATATGACTTTGAAGTTAAGTTTCCAATACACGAATTCCACGGGACACACCCAAACTCAACAGTCCACTCGGGTAGCCACCTGCTGTGTCCACACACCTTTTCTACCCCAGGTCCCCACCACACAGCCAAGCCTGATCCTGTCTCGGTACTGGTGCCTCCCTGTGCCTGGTCATCCCATTCAGAATCCCGGCATTCCCTTGGGTCCTTCTCCCTCATCCACCAGTCCAACAGAAGCACTGAATGGCCTTCATCCCTGCATCCTCCTAACTTCCAACATCTGCCCACTTCTCTCCACCCATTCTTAGCCCAGCTCCTACTGCAACCATGCAGCTGCATCTCAGTGACCACCTCCCACCTGGTCATGGCCCTAGTCCATTCCCTGTGCTGCAGCCAGAACAATCTGCAGCATTTCCTGAAAGATGCACCTGATCACACCATCCTACCATCTAAAAGCCCTCACAGGGCTTTATCCCCTGAAGCGCAGATGTTCTTCCTGTGTCTTTTACAAGGCCCGGCATGATCTGATTGCCTTTGCTTTTCCATCCTCTTCTCAATGATCATCACTTTTCAATCACCAGCAGCTGCCTCTGGGCTCCAGTTACAGTCAACTTTGGTCACTTCAAGTGATCGTCATTATTTCCTCCAGGAAGTCACCCAAAAGCCCCTGGGGGGGGGGGGTTCATGCTTCTTCTATCAACACTACATGGCTTCAAAGCTCCCAGTCCATTTTTCTGCATTGCTGACTTCCCATCCCAGACTAGAATCTCTACCTATTGGCAACACTCATGCCACCGCTGCCCAACCCACTGCCAGCCAGGAACCCCGTTCCCTGAGTGCCCCATGCACAGCCGTGAATGCCCAGGTTTTGCCCCGAGACAATCCTTCACTTCCAGCACTTTCCTCAGTCAGAACCAGAACATCCACAAAAACTGCGGCAGCCACCACCACCCCCTGCAGAGGAGGAACCGAGACCAAAGATGCCTTTCAAAAATCCTTGGGAAAGTCATGACTGAATCGATATAAGAACCGAGTCTGTCCGAAAAGTTTTGCCTTCTACCAACAAGCCTGTGAGCACTGCTCAGGAGGCCTGCAAGGGAGCTGCCACTGGGTTCTTAGCTCCAGGGCACTAGAGCCCTACTGCAGCAGGAACCTGGCAGAACTGCTGCTGATGATCCGAAACTGGAGTCTATGAGGCTCAGTGTTGGGACTAAATAAAAAATACAGCCCAGTCCAGAAAATGAAATCGCCTAGCCAGCCGAAAAGGTTCATGACCATAAAGCCCCTCCCACGGCGTCTGAGACTCCTTCAGACTGTCAAGTGCACAGAAAGAAACACAGATTTATTCACAGGAGCCAGCCAGATGGGTCCTGCTGTGGCCACAGATGCTGGATCACCAGAAGGGAAAGTGGAGCGAACAATTGCAGAGGCAGAGCGGTTGCAGAGTTGGGGCCCCAGCGTGGCACAGTTCAGACCAGAGTCTCTGGACCTTACCTAGCCCTGGCCCCCCCTCGGCCAGGCCAGGGGTGGTGAGATGACACAGAATCGCTGGCAGCAGTCCATGGAAGCCGCGGACCAGCTCTGACCACACCTGGAGGGCCACTCCTTGTCCACAGAGACAGGGACAGCTCAGTGACACGGGTCAGATTCTCCCAAGCAGGCCCTGAGAGGGGAACTTGGATGCAAGTGCTTTTATGAAGAAGTATTGCTATGAACAGGGTAGAGAGAAAGGAATAAGGTTTGATTTCAGCCACAGACCCACACGAGGATGGTTTTAAGAAAACCCCGCATGAAGACTCGGGGTGTGCTGTGCCCCAGGGTGGGCAGAGCTTTAGCAAGGTCTAGGAGGAGAGGTAGTGGCCCACTCACTTCTGACACCTACACAAACCACGGCAGCTCTGGTAACTCATGGAGAAGGGACGGCCTTTGAAGAAGAGGAAGGAAGAGGAAGAGAAGGAGGAAAAGAAGGGAGAGAGGAAGAGGAGGTCCAAACAGAGAATTCATTGTAACAAATTAACTGAAATTCCCAGGGCTGGGGCTGAATTCAGACTCGGCTGAATTCAGGCCCTCAGATGCTGTGGGCATCAAACCTTGGCCCTGCTTCATTCTGTGTTTTCTTCACTCTGAGGCACTGCCTGAAGTCACAGTGCAGCCACCAGGAGCCCTCAGCCAACACTCTACAGCTCAGCAACCTGATGACTCTTTCCGGGTATCTCAAATACAAGTCCCAAGGTCACTTCCAGTTCACTGGCTTGGGCTGCTTGCCCATCCTTGAACCAGGTCCTGCTGCGGAAGGTGGAGTCGGCAGATGAACCAGCCCTGGGCTGAGTGTTCATCCTGGGGGTCTCCGGATGTTGGGGTGGGCCTGGCTGTGGGCTCCAGCTGCACTGCAGGAGTGGGCTGGGGCAGGAGTGCCTCCTGGAAGAATGCAGAGGAAGGGGAGGAGCGCTGTGCATGAGAGCTGACTGCCCTCTGCTCGCCTGCTTCTGCAGTGAGGAGGAGGAAAGAGGCTGGGCCCTTGGGCCTATGAGAGCTGCATCCTCAGGTGTCTATTCTGGATTCTGGCTTCCTCCTGAAACGCAGGTAGCTGCGGTTCCAATTTCCATGACTTTTGTCCCACTTGGTGAGCCTTTCCAAGCCAGCTAGACAGGCTGTTAGAGAAATGGCTTCAGGAAATGCCTGATCTTGTTTTCCTAGAGACCACGTGGTGGGTTCATTTACACCATTGGTGCAAGTCTCTGCTGACTTCAACATTCCGTCCTTTAATTAGTCCAAAACATCTAAGAGTACTCATTTTCTTAACCCACTTCCGTTTCTCTACACATCTGTCGCCAGTGGTAGCTTTTGGCATTCTTCAGTGGTCATTATTTCTCACATAAGAACCAAGTTTTAGTCACTGCGTGACGTTTACAGCTCTCATGGTAGTGAGTAGTATGGGAACTGCAGGCTCTGGACACCTTGTTGGGTGTTGAAGGCCAACAGTAGAGACATCTGTGGTTTGTGCCCCTGGCAGTGACTCACCC